ATACATACGTACATATTTATATATATATATATACATACACATACATATACATATACATATATACACATACATATACATTCACATACTGCTAGAATTAGCTAGAATGTTTTATCAGGATTTTTTGGGCTTTAAGGTCTCCAGCACTCTGGGTAGGGCTCAGCTGGAGTGGCCCTGAAGTGAAGCTGAGTAAAGCAACCTCAGCTCGCCTTTGGGACGATTTGGCTTCTCAGCTTGGGCCAGCACCACATAGGAGCTCCAGTAACTCTCTCCCCGTTGCTTGCCGATAGCTCCTGCATTGCCGAACGCAAACATACCTTTCATCTCGATTACGCTCCGGCCCCCTGTGATTATTCAGGCTCCTCTAGTGCCTCCCATGGGCTGCCGGCTGGGGCCACGCGTTGAGCGCCTCCTTCGGGGGAGCCTCTTCCCAGGCAGGGCGCCGGAGACTTCAGAGCAAAAGCCGGCAAGAGCCAGAAGTCTGGTCGGCCGCAGCGTCTGCTACTGCTGCTGCTACTGCTAGTTCAATCGCAGCTGCGCGTACCAGTGCAAGTACCATTATGTACTAGTACTGCTATCACAACAACGGTTGCAGCTACACCCACAGCTAGCTACAGCTACAGCCACACCCACAGCTACAGCTGCAGCTACACCTACAGCTGCAGCTGCAGCTACAGCTACAGCTACAGCGACAGCTACACCAAGAGCTACAGCTACAGCTGCAGCTGCACCTGCAGCTACAGCTAAATCTACAGCCACACCTACGGCTACAGCTGCAGCACCTACGGCTACAGCTATGGCTACAGCTACGGCTACACACTACTACTGCCACCACTACTGACACAACAACAACACCTACTACGACTGCTGCTGCTGCTGCTGCTACATCTACTACTACTACTACTACTACCACCACAACAACAACAACTACAACAACAACAACAACTACTACTACTACTGCTGCTACTACTACTACTACAACCACTGCAGCAAAAACTACTACTCTTTTCACGGTCGCCACCACCACCGCCGCAGCCACAGCCACAGCCACAGCGGCGGCCGCAGCCGCAACCAGAACCGCACCCCGAACACAGGAAACAAGAACATGAGCCATGCTCCACGAAGATGATCGTGACAATGATACACTCCACGGACTCCGCGGCCCTCGCAGGCAGTGGATGCAACGAGATCTCGGTGGTTTCCTGGAACGTCCTTGCGCCGGGGGCCGATGGAGGCATGAAGGTGGACGGGGATACTCAGAGGCTTCCATGCCTGCTGGAGCATCTCTGGCTTTATGTCTCATGTGACATCATCTGCCTGCAAGAGCTCGAGAAAGGGACCTCCTTGGAGAAGGTGCAAGGCTTCCTGGCGGAGCAGGGCTTCGCCTGCGAGACGCAGCAGCGCGAAGGGAAGAACAGCTTCCATGTGGTCAATGCCACGTTCTTCAAAGCCGATCGCTTTCGCGTCAACTGGTCGGAGTCTCGCTCGCGAGTCCTTCTAACGGGCCTTCTGCTGCCCAATGGCCGTGAGATTTGCGTGCTGAATGTGCACCTAGCCGCCAACGGCGCTGCAGCGACGCGGTCGTCGCAACTGGCACATGCCCTGCAGAAGATGCAGGGGATCATCTCCTCATACAAGATCATCTGCGGTGACTTCAATGACAGGCTTGAAAGTGACAGCCCTCTCATTCCCCTGCTTGCCGAACTTGGAGTGTCCCGCACCGCGCCTTGTGGGTTCACGCATTACTGCGGCCTTGCTCTCGATCACATTTGTGTGAGCTCGGGCCTTTCCCAGCAGCTGGTGCTCACCAGCACGCAGAAGGAGCTGGCCGACCTCAGGCAACGAAGCCTCCCGGACACAGAGCATCCCTCGGACCACTTTCCCGTGGCAGGCCTCTTCCATCTGAAGCCATCAGATTGGCAGCTTCCCAAGCTGCCGGAGGTGCCTCATGCCCTGCCGGGTGAGCTGGAGGCGTGGAGGGAGCTTTGCCTGGAAGATCTGCGGCCTCTGCCCAGGGACAAGAAGCTGCGGAAGGAGCAGCGGAAAGCGCAGCAGCAGTTGGAGGAGAGCTTCTTCTCCGCTCTTCCCGGCAGCGAGCAAGGCCTCAGAAAGTGGAGGGAGGAGACGCAGGCAGCCGCGCGCGCTCTCTGTGTGCTGGTCCTGGACGACGCCCTGGCCGCTGTCCGCAAACAAGAGAAAACCGACGGAGTCACCTAGAACCTGTAGAGCTGCAAGAGTTGCGTTTTGTCCTTGCTTGTACAGTGTACAGTGTCACGAGGGGTCAGAGAGCCCCGCAACGAAAAAGCCGATGCAGAAGGCCTTCCACGGCCGCATCGGGAGCGCAGCGACCCTTCGCCTTGTCCGTCGTAAGAAAGGGCAAAAAAAAGCGAAGCGACCGGACTCCCAGAGCTCCGGCCAGGGCCCAGTCTCCTCTGAAAGCCCAGGCTGGGAGACGATGCGGGACCAGAAGGTGGAGGAGCTTGGCCTGGACGTGCAGGAGCCTTCAGAATGACGAACATGCAAACATAATTCTTGGTCCTTGTTGTGGGTGTTTGGTGGTCCGCATTTTGTGCCCATGGCAACCTGACGAGCAATCGGCATATGCCAGTCGATGGTTTGCCACCAGGAGCTCATCCGCGAGTTTGGCGAGGTGGGCCCAGGATGTCATGACCTGTTTGCTGTGGGACTCAGAGTTCTGTGCTGCTCCTAGCAGGTTGTCAGCCCTAAAAACCCAATTCCCAACCGTCCCACCAAATCTACATCCTTTCAGAACAGGTCCGCGACAGGTGGATGTCCGACGATCTCGCCTCATGGTTGGCCAGCTCCTGAGATAAGTGCTGCATCGCGCGGAGAAAGGGCGAAGTGCTCAGGTTCAAGGTTTGCAGTTTAGGGTCTTGGGCCTTTGGGGGTTTGCGGGTTGAGGATCTTTGCGACATTTTGTGACTCAGGCATGCAACAAGGCCTACGACATGGCGTGGTCCACAGCATGCGTCCGCCAGTCTGTCCCCCTCGACCGATCATGGCACCATCGGACCAAGGTGCCGGATGTCATGATGGAAATGGTCGGGCGGGGCGCAGAGGCCGAGCCTCCCTCCATGTCCGAGATGTGTTTTGTAGATTCGTTCGAACATCTCCCATGACAGGTCTACATCATCACGACGATGCTTGGCTTCAAACAGACGGGAGACCGAGCATCTGGAAAAGTCAAAGCTGCCCTACTCCGCTTAGCGGAGTGACCTCCTGCAGCGCGATCTCCAGATCTTTCCCAGGTAGGCTTTTAGGATATTTTAGATTTTCCCTTATTGGGCTTAAGAGGACCCTATTTACTTCTATTTTTCAGAGGCTTTAAAGGGCTATCGCAGCAAAGAAGCGACTTGGCGGGCCCAGGAAGCAGAAGCGCTTCGCGCAAGCCCTCCTGGAGGCCGCTGAGTCCGTGTCTGGAGCTCCAAAGGCTCTGACTGTGATACTGTTATAGTTTTGTTGAGTACTGTTAGTAGTACTATTCTAGTAATATTCTATTTTGACCATGGTGCTATTTTTGGTCTTGTTTTATAATATTATTATGGCCTTATTTAGATTGGGGGAGTCCCATCTCGACCTTTCGGATGTTGCTGCTTTAGTGGAAGGACTTCGGTATTGAACTGCCGGCGGACCACATCTTTGCCGCGCCCCCAGCCGAATGGGAGCTCAAGCACCTCCCCGTGCGTGATCAAGTTCTGTTGAGGGAGGAACAGAGCCCACAGCAAAAAGCCCGACAAACCGCAAATCCTAAACCCTAAACCCCCAAACCTGAAACCCTGAATCCCAAAGCCCTAAATCCCCAAATCCTTAAACCC